TTTTGGTTTTTTGAGACAGGGTTTCTCTGCGTAGCTTTGTGCCTTTCCTGGAGCTCACTTGGTAGCCCAGACTGGCCTCGAACTCACAGCGATCCGCCTGGCTCTGCCTCCCGAGTGCTGGGATTAAAGGCGTGCGCCACCACCGCCCGGCTTAATATTTTTATTACATTTAGTGTGTGTGTGTGTGTGTGTGTGTGTGTGTGTGTGTGTGTGTGTGTGTGTGTGTAGATGCATGTTCCACAGTGTGTGTAGGGGACAGCTTTCAGGGTCGGTTTTCTCATGCCACCATGTAGTGTCCTGTGAGGGAACACAAGTCAGCTAGCTTAGTGGCCAGCCCTTTACCCCCTGAGCTACCTCGCCAGCCCTTTTTGTTTGTTTGTTTGTTTGTTTTTTTGTTTTTTGAGACAGGGTTTCCCTGTGTAGCTTTGCGCCTTTGAACTCACAGAGATCCGCCTGGCTCTGCCTCCTGAGTGCTGGGATTAAAGGCGTGCGCCACCACCGCCCTGCGCCCCTTTTTGTTTTTGGATATAAGGTTTCATGTATTCCAAGCTAGCCTTGAATTCCCTGTAGCTGAGAATGACCATCTTCCAGTCTCCTGCTTCTGACTCCCACGTGCTGGGACTGTGGACGTGTACCACTATATGCGGTTTATGAGACGATAAGGATCAAATCCAGGCCCTTCATGCCCGGCATGCTAGGCAAGTGCCCCACCAACTGAGTTTCATCCCCAGCCCTGATGCTTGGACATCTTAAGAGGATGGTTAGAGGCGAGAAAATACAGAGCTGACCCACAGCGGGTGTGTTAATCGCAGAACAGGAAGTTGTGTGGAAAAGGAAGTGTCATCTTAGAATATGCTTGCTTGCCGGGCTTTGGTGGCGCATGCCTTTAATCCCAGCACTCGAGAGACAGAGCCAGGCGGATCTCTGTGAGTTCGAGGCCAGCTTGGTCTACAGAGCGAGATCCAGGAAAGGCACCAAAACTACACAGAGAAACCTGTCTTGAAAAACAAAACAAAACAAAACAAAAACAAAACAAAACAAAACAAAACAAACAAACAAAAGAATATGCTTGCTAGTACAGCCCGTGCCATCGGCAATGACCACTGAAGGGACAGATCATCCTGTGGTTTTTAGGGCAGAAGTTGCGGGGAGCGGGTTGGCTGTGTAGTAAGAGGTGAGAGAAAGTAGTCAATTTCAACACTTCACAGTAAGAAAGCAGCAGACACACCTTCCATTCAAAAATAAAGAAGCAGCCAGACAAGGGTTGTGGCCGCCCTGCATGTTGCGACGCACGGCCTTGCACCGTCAGGAATTACGCCACGCAGGCGAGCACTGGCCAGGATCCCTGCTTTAGCCAGCAGGTCTCAGCTGCTATTGAGATCTTTGACCAAGTAAAACAAAAACTAGAGAGACTGAGGAAGGGGAGATGGAAAAAGTCTCTTTCAGAAAGCCTGGCTGCGAGAGGAATGTGGGTATTGGACAAGCTGAACCAGCCGGGCATGGTGTTATTCAACCATGCTCATGGGCCAGTTCAATAGGAAGGGTGAAGAAGCAGCCGAGAGTTAGATGAGACGCAAACAGATCTGAACCCAGACTGATCGAGGTCTTAAGCCGATGCTTCCCGATACAAATCCTTGCACGCCCCGGCCAGAGCTGCTTGGGTGGTTTAGTTTTCGGGTAGCTGTAGTTTTGAATGCCCAGTTAAAATACACTTGGAGTCTTTGGAAAGAGGCTTACAGTGTAGCTCAGACTAGCCGCCTACTCTCAATCCCCCAGCCTCAGCATCCACATAGATTATAGTCCTGTGCCATCATGATGGACTGGTCTTCCTCTTTTGTCACAACCCTCTCTCCTCCTTCCTCCCATCCAAGACTGTATATAGAATGAACAAAGGGGAATGAGAGAGAGAGAGAGAGAGAGAGAGAGAGAGAGAGAGAGAGAGAGAACATTCCAGACTCTAGACTCTTGACTCCTGGGATCTGACAGGTGAACTGTCACTCTTAGCAAGGGACACATGAAGATGGCCTGTGTCTCAGACTCCTGGTAGTTTTACAGAGCAAGTGTGCAGCAGGTGAGCAGCAGGCAAGGTCCTTGAGAGGGAAGCTTCTAACAACCTAACAGTTCCCTGCCTCCATTTAAACTATTTTAACTGCCATCATAATTGAACCTACTTACAGGGTACAGTGAGGCCTTTCAATATGCAACTATAAAACATCATGACCAGATCAGGGTAGGAAGCATTCCTATCACCTGAAAATTTATTTTAACTGAGCATGGTGGTGCATATCTGCAATCCCAGCACTTGGAGGCACAGGCAGAATTGCCACAAGTTCAAGGTTAGCCTGGGTTATGTACTGAGTTCCAGACCAGCCAGCAACTACATAGTGAGAACATGTCTCAAAATGAAAAAAAAAAAATTTTTTTTTTCTGTTTGAACATTCAAAACTTCCCATTGGTCATTTGAAGTAGCTCTTTGTTTACTGTGGTGGTGACTTTGTGCTATACACTGTCAAGGGGTATACATTCTTCCCTTCCAATGAAGACCTCTTCAAGTTCTTAGCATCACCATACTTGGGACCAGGCATCCAGCATGAGAACCTCGACCAGAGCCAGACCTAAAGAGTAGCTACCCCCGTGGCCAGCTTGTTATTTATCCATAGTGCAGTGGATGTTGAAATTATGAATGCAACATCCTGCATGCTTTTCTTACAATGAGGCTTAAAGACTCAGCGTGTGTTTTTGCAGACAGTACTTCTTGGAATGTAAAAGGAAAGACACGAGGAGATGCCCAGAGCAGATGTTTATGGGCTGGGTGGGAAGGCTAGAAGTCCAGAGCAAAGGAACAGGGAGTATGTGTTAGGGAGGGCTTGGAAACTGAGGACAATGGACAGGGCCACTCTAGACAGTGCTGGTGGTTGTCTGCCCCCTTGTCCTCACGCCTTTCCCCAAAGAAAGGGAGGCAGGATTCCTTCCCTTCTTCTTGAAGCAACTCTGCTCCTTCCCCTAAAGAAGGAGCAAGGTCTCCATTGTCCCTAGGGAAAGCTTCTGTTCATCCAGGACCCTGCGAGTTTAGGGACCACTCTAAGTGCCCCTGCCAGGTACTCCGAGTCTTTGCAACAAGCCCATAGCATCTGCTCCAGACAACACCCCACATTGTCCCTCCAGCATCTCCACACTGTCCACCTGAAAGCTCCCTGCTTCCTGCACTCTATCCTAAAACACCCCTGGAAAGAGAATTAGTGGGACCTACATGGAGAAAGAAGCTCCCAGGCCCCTGAGGTCTTGGATCTGGCAGGGAAGACCTAGGTCACCACAGGGAAGGTGAAGGCACTAAGTGCCCACAGAGAGGAGTCGCAGGGGCTTTCTGGAGTAGGTGGGCTGCAAGCAAAGAGCGGACCCCCTGGTTGAGTCACACCAGGGCCAGACACTGGCTTCTGTGCTTGCCTCCTCAGGCCATCGCCAGTCACATGCACCTCAAATGCAAATGCCACGGACTCTCCGGCAGCTGCGAAGTGAAGACCTGCTGGTGGTCGCAGCCGGACTTCCGCACTGTCGGGGATTTCCTCAAAGACAAGTACGACAGCGCCTCGGAGATGGTGGTGGAGAAACACCGCGAGTCCCGTGGCTGGGTGGAGACCCTGAGACCACGTTACACGTACTTCAAGGTGCCCACAGAGCGCGACCTGGTCTACTACGAGGCCTCGCCCAACTTCTGTGAGCCGAACCCTGAAACCGGCTCCTTTGGGACGCGCGACCGCACCTGCAACGTGAGCTCGCACGGCATAGACGGGTGTGACCTGCTGTGCTGCGGGCGCGGCCATAACGCGCGCACTGAGCGACGAAGGGAGAAGTGCCACTGTGTTTTCCACTGGTGCTGCTACGTCAGCTGCCAGGAGTGCACACGCGTCTATGACGTGCACACCTGCAAGTAGGAGGGTTCCCAACGGAGGGCGCAGGGCTCATACTTAGGGGCAGGGTTCTTACCTGGGGGCAGGGTTCCTACTTGGAGGGGTCTCATACCTGAGGATCCAGTTCCTACTTGAGGGCAGGGCTCCTACTTGTGAGGGGCTCCTGCTTGGGGTCTGGGTTCCTTTTTAGCGGAGAGGCTCCTGCCTGGGATACGGGTTTCTACCGAGGGTGGGGCTCCACCTAGGGATGAAATTCCAATCTGGGACGGGGGTCCTACCCCATATGGGTTGGGCTTCTCTCTTGACCCCGACAGGGCTCAAATCGGTACAGGTGAGCAACTCCCTCAACTAGTTGGGGTTCGTGGATGGGCGGGGAGGGATTGGGGTCCCTCCTCCCAGAGGCGCTGCTCTAGATAGATTGAGAGGGTGCTTCAGGGTGGGCCCTACTGGGCTTGGGGATCCAGTGGGGGCGGGACTTCACCCTGAGTGGTTAGAACTTCTGAGCACGAAGAAAGGAAGGAGACCCCCTTCCGTTGGGGTGAGGCAAGGCTTCACCGAGGACTCATGGAACAAACTCCAGGGAAGGAGGAGCTCCTAAGGAAGCCTAGGTTCTGAGCAGGCAATTCAGCTACTATATGGCTCCTTTTCAGTCCCCGTGTACAGTTCCAACTGCAAGCCTCATCCGTACATAGCAGGATCTCCTGATGGAATGAGCCATGGAGAACTCAGGGGTGACGCCGATCTCACCCCCATGCCTGGGAACTCCTTTCCAAGCTCTGCACCCCTTCTGCCTGGGCGTTCCTACCCTCCTTACCAGATCTCCCCTGAGGGAGATTTGCAATCCCCCAGAGTTAAAGTGACCAAGCATGGAACAGAGCTCTATCCTGAGTAGAGAGGGTACTTAGCGGATGGGGTCTGCTAAGAAGGATCCTGGAGCCTGGCATCTTACCACCATAGCCTCTCACTCTCTCTGCCCTGACACCTAACACTCAGGTCTCTTCCCAGGAAACCTTCCCAGTTCATCTGGCAGTGATGCCCAGGCCCCAAAGGTGCTCAGAGATTTTGGCCTCACTTTGAGTTGTATGGACTTCAGGGACATTAGGGCATAGTCAGGCTGCAGAGACAAAGTGTCTCCTGGAGCCTCCCCCCTCCCCAAGTTCAAGACCAACCCTCAGAGCCTGCTGTTGAGGCAACGGTCACCAGATCTGTTGGCCACCAGCCTGTCTCCAAGCTTCTCTTGTGTCTGTCTGGCCTGGAAGTGAGATGCTGCAGGCCATCTGCCTCAAGAGCTTCTGAATCTCTGCCACTGTGAATTGTCCCCACCTCCAGGCAGGGGAGGGGACATGGCCACATAGGAGTGTGCCCCAGGAGCGTCGAAGAAAGGCTCTACACGGTGACTGTCTTTTGCCTGGAACTTGGCGTTTGGTGTTGTAATTTTATTTCCAATGCTGCTATATCCACCATCACTGGAATTAGATAAACGTGACTTTTTTTCTTTTTTCTTTTCTTTCTATGAAAGAAATTATTTTAGTTTATAGTGTGTTTGTTTCAAATAATGGGGAAAGTAAAAAAAGAAAAAGAGAGAGAAAAAACCAAGTCTGTGGTTTGTACTAGATTCTCCCTTTTATTAACATGGTATTAGTCGCACATATTGACGGAGTTTGGTATGGCATCCTGTGCTGATCCCCTGAGGGTAATTCACATTTCCCTGTCCCTATCATCTGTGGTGTGTCTGCACTATGTTGGGGACCCGGCGATACCAGCTCAGGGGCTGGGTCTCAGAACCAAGGAGAGACCATCAACAAGCCTCCAGGGAAGTCTGTGGGCCCAGAATTCCAAGAAGAAAGAGTAGAAATAGCTAGGTCAGGAAAAGAGCAGTCAGCTGCAGCAAAATCTGGTATAGGAGAGTTTGGATAGAGAGGTGTGGATGGGGCTTAAGTAAGTAAGAGAGCTGGGGAGCCAGGCAGGAAGTAGGATGCTTTGGGAGCCCCGGTGAACAGAAGAGGAGCCTGGGCCGCTGGAGAAGCAGCTTGATCCCTCACACATTGGCATGCAGGAGAAACATGGAACAAACCATCTCCCCATTAAACCATAGTCACACAGCTGACAGTCCAAGACCACTGTATTTAGGGTAAGGCAGCCCTTGGCATTCGAGGACAGTGGTCTGGCTTGCTGCTGGTGGCCTTTAAATGTAGGGTCAACTGGATCTGAGGAGCACACTCAAGTCCTCAGATGGGGCTGGACACCAGAAGTGTCTGAGATTCCCACCCAAAGGAAGCTCTGGATGGGCATGGTCTTTGTTCAGGAGCCACCATCCTCCCGTTTGCCTTCACAAGGCCTCAGCCGAGCCAGGTAGGATGAACCATCCTGTCAGTGAACCAAGTGATCAGGGGTGGGGTTTAGGAGCACCATGGAAGTGAGGCTGAAGGCCTCCCTCAAAGCCATACTTCTCTCAAGAACACGACTCTGCCTAAGCAAGCCCTACCATGTCTCTGCTCCTTCCCCTGCTCCCCAGGTCCATCCCTATACTGTCCACACCTCAGGGTCCTGTCCTGATGTCCAGATACCAGAGCAATGAGTGTCCTTAGGAGGCTGGGAGCAGCAGGTCCTGCCTCTCAAAAACCCAAGTTGACCTGGCATCGTGGCCCACACCTTTAATCCCAGCACTCGAGAGGCAGAGGCAGGTGGATCTCTGTGAGTTCAAGGCCAGCCTGGTCTACAGAGTGAGTTCCAGGACAGCCAGGGTGGTTACACAGAGAAATCCTGTCTCAACCCCCCTAAGCTCATCCCCCCCCCAAAAAAAACTGACCTGGGAAAAGAGGCGGTGGGGTGAGGGAAGGCACAAGGCAGGGCCTTCCAGGCCCATTTGACCCAGCATTGTGTTGAATCTGTGCAGTTGGTCCATGCTGACTGCTAAAAGCCAAGGCTGCTGTCTACATGCCCCATGAACTTGCCCATAGGCCTGGTAGCCCAACATTTTGTCACATTGGCTGACACTACATTCTGACTGCCATTTATCAGAGCAGCCTGTCACTGGCTTTGTGGCTGGGCCACTTGAGGAGGTCCTTAAACCTTCAAAGCATTCACAAGCAGTCCTGAGACCCTACTAGACTTCCCTGTACCCTTAAAGAAGTATACCGTGAGGGAGCCCCCATGTCTTAGGGCCTAAAGATGGGACCAGACATGTGCCTGGTCTGTACATAGCTCCCATTGCAGGCCCCAGGTACATCTTTTGTCCACCTAACCTGCTGGCTAAGCCTTGGGATGCTCTGAGCACTCACCCCTTCCAGGGCACAGATTCAACCTGTGGGCTGACGATCCATGGCCTGGGACAGCTCAATCCACCACCTCAATATTGGTCACATTGTCATACTCAAACATCAAAGTAACCAGAGTCCTAGCAGGGTACAAAAGGAATAGCCAGCCTGGCCTGACGGTATAGGCCTATGATCCCAGCTGCCACAGAAGGTAAGGACCACATATTCAGGACTGGCTGGGATACAGAACAAGGTCAAGACCAGCTAAAGTAATTTAGTAAGACCCTGTCTCAAAATGCAAATAAAGGGCTGAGATGTACTTCAGTGGCAGAATGCTTTTTCTAACATGTGAGGCCCTGAACACCACCACAGCACTGGAAAAAAAAAAAATCACAGGCTCTGAGGGACACTGGCAGCTGAGTGGTCTCAGGGAAGGAGTCCAGTACGGGAACTCTCTGGCCCCTGGAGAGCTGGCCAGGTCTGTTCAGGACTTGTGGAGGTACAGGGTGTAGGCCCAGGTTCCAAACTGTCGGTACCCCTTCTTTAGCCTTCTGATTCTCTGCATCTTGGCAGTCGGCACCCTAATGTCATTTATGCCTACACACAGCTCTCTCTCCTCAGCCTCGGGGCCTTCTGTACCCCTCCAGGTGCATTCCAGGCAGGCCACCCACTCTCAGGGCTGCAGGTGTACACCAGGCCCTGACCTACTATTGGCAGGACTACCTAGGAATTCCCAGTAAGGGCAAGGGTCAGTGGGGCCAGCCAGCTGCAGGTGAACACTCTATAAAGAGGATGCCATGTTCAGGGCCAGCCAAGGCAGAAGGACAGGCGCCCATTCTCCCCTCAGGGGAGTGAGTCACTAGCGGGCAAGGGGGCAGGCTCCGGAAGAGTCCACTCAGCCTGCTAGGCCATCTTGGGTGCTAACAATAATAAAGCCATCAGTCCCTAGGGCAGTGATGAGAGTCCTCAGTTAAGCTTGTCCGACAGATGAGTAGCTCCTCTGGTTGGCACCCCGGGCAGGAGCCACCCTAATTGGTACCTGTGCCCTAGTGCCCAGATGAAAGGGACAGACTCGACTGGGAGGCGGCAGGGCAGTGGCACAACCAACAGGTCACGGGGACCTGAGAAGTCAGAGTCCAGAGTGGGTATTGGGAGGACAGTTGTCTCAGGACCCTAGCAAGGTCCAGGTGCCACACAGCTTTTGGGGATGCAGAGCCCTTGTGCCCAGAAGACAGAGCACTTTAGAGGGTCAAAGAACCCACATACCTTGAGACAGAAGTCTGGGCAGCTTGGAGCACCAAACAGCATTGGCCCGAGGGCATGCCAGGGACCCAGGTGGGCACTGGCATCTAGGTGCCAGTTTCTGAGCAGCAGCCCCACAGGCCCAGGATCTCAGACTACCATAAAGATGGTCTTGGCTGTCCAGAGGAGACACACTAGGCTGTGGTCCTCAGGGCCAAAGTGTAAGAAGAAAGGGAGAGAGCCCATGAATAAGAGCATCCACAACCCACAGGAACACAGACAGACCCCAGATAATGGCCTGGCCATGGGGAGCTAGAAGGTGAAACCCTGAACTCATTGCCTGGCAAAAGGAAGCGCCACTCCTCTCTGGGCCTCAGTTTCCCTTTTTGCATGCAGAAGGAAATGGGATGAACTGCAACCCCCAGGCCCAGGGGTGGGAAGTCCTAGGCCCCACTCAGATCCAAGCTTGCAGCTGTGGGCCTCAGAAGCTGCCTCTCTGGTGACTTTACAGCCCCTCCCGCTGCCCCGGAGAAGGAGGAAATGAGCTGGGGGCCTGTTCACAGGTAGTTGAGACAGCCCCCAAATAACCATATAAAAGGGCCGGAGGCTGGGGGCCCCACCCAGCCAGGACAAGCTTGGCCATCCCCTTGCAAATCTCACACCCAGTAGCTTTGAAGTACTGGAAAGGGTGTGGCCAGCCCCCACCTTGAGGCCCCACTGACCCTCCCTCTTTCTGTCACCCCCTCCCCTGGACGCCCACTTTCTGGGTCCTGGGGCTCAGTTTCCTCTCTTCAGAGACAGACTGGAGGCTGTCACCATGGCCTGACCTCCAAGACAACCTACTCTCAGGACAGCTGGGGTGTAGCCAGCTATGGTTCCCACACCTGGCTTGGGACTGAGAAAATGGACCTGAGGACTAGCTTTCCATGAATAATTGGTGATGATGTAGGCAAGTGTATGGCAAGAAGTTAGAGTCCTCAACCCAAGCGGTCTTGGCTGCAGGGTCTGGTATAGTCTCCTCCAGGGAATGCCTGGGAATAAACAGGGAGCCAGGAAGAAATACTGGGAAGCCTCTAGGGCCTTCCTGAAAGTGAACCATCCACTGTTGGGGTGAGAGAAAACTATGATGTAGGAGTACCACAGCCCTAGGAACCCCTCCCAGACCTGGCATGTCCCACAGATGATGCCAAGCCTGGCTTGCTGTATGGGTCCCAGTTGACTGATGTCCCACTGCTGCTGCTGTGTGGCTGTGGTGATGGATTCTTACAGCTGGATCAATTCTGAGTCCCGCCAAGCCTACCCCAGCCATAAAGATCCACCCAGAAGGAACGGTGGGACATGGTAATTCCCTGGAGTCCAGCTAGTGCCCTGGAACAGATTCTTCTCCCTCTGGCTGTACCCTGCAGCATGCCATAGGCCCCAGGTCCCACCTCCCCCGACCAGTCATTCACCTTCTCCCACAGCCTGGTCCCTTCAGGAGTCCCCCATTTTCCTTTCAGAAACCCTCTCCATGAGGTACCCAAGAACAACACACTCTGAGATCATAGCCTTTTTAGGACCATCATCTCTTCAATGACCTTCAATTTCCAGAGCCAGAGTAGAAACAAGGTACCCACTTACTGCCCCTGAAGCCCTGGGGGACCAGCATACCATCCTACTGGAGTCCAGTATTAGAGAGAGGTATGAGTCCCGCATAGCCCAGTTGGCTAGTGTCTCTGGTGTTGAATTGGACTATATTCTCATTGCTACTCTTGGGCCATGTGGGAAGGCTTCCAAGAAGAGCCCAGCAAGGTGCTGTTTCTGCCCCCTGATGGTCCTTTAATTCTGAGATGCCACACAGATGCCAAGACAAGGAGCAGTGGCCAGGGCAGCAAGGAAGCCCTGGAAAGGGCCCCCGACTCCAGGAGCATGGGCACTGCCTACCCTTCCTGCCCTGCCCTGCTCTGCCTGGCCAGGCAGCTGGGATGGAGCTGCAAGCTGTCAGAAGGTGCTAATTGCTGTTTAGCTCTGAGCCAGCTCCTTGCTCTGGTCTTTTTTCCACCCTCTCTCTCTTTTT